AATTGTGCCAAAAAGGAGAAGAAAGTCAATTGATGATTGTCCAAGTTCAATTGAACATATATAGTGGACCGGATTAAATTATTGCAAACGGATAATGACGAGTTGAAGGATATAAAGAAGCTAATGGAAAACGAGAAGCACGAGGGGTTTGGTATTCATGAAGAGGGCTCGATGAGACTTAGCAATTGTTTGTGTGTTTCGATAGGAAAGGTCTGTCAAGAGCTAATGGAGGAGGCTCATACCTTTTTGTATTCTACGCATCACGGAGGGCTGAAGATGTATAAAGACTTGAAATAATAATTTCGGTAGTTCGGAATAAAGAAGGACATTGCGGAGTTCGTATCAAAATGTTGACTTGCTAATTAGTGAAAGTTGAGCATCATAAGCCTAGAGAATTGTTACAATCTTTACCCTTTTCGAAGAGGAAATGAGAGCATATCACGATGGATTTTGTGACGGCATTGCTGAGGAGTCAGAAAGGAAGTGAGTCATTGTTGTGAGAAAAAAATGTGTGCGTGTTATAAGTATACAACCAAGTTATATAGTATAGACAATATCGAATGACAAGGAGATAGTTTTTAATATTTTTAAATTAGAATTTTTCTTTATGAAAGTTTATTGAAACAATGTTTTTATGAAAATGTGTTTAAAAAGGGGTTTTGGATTTTTCATAGATAAAAGAAAATGGAACTAGAAGAGCGAGAGAGGAGATAATAGAAATGTAAATAAAAAATATAAAATAATAAAATAAAATAAAATAAATAAAAAGCAAAACAAGAGAAAAAGGGAAAAGAAAATGGAGAGGTAAGAGAACTACAAAGAAAATGTAAAAACTAAAGAATTAAGAGAAAAAAAAATAGACGAAAACTAACAAACTAGAGAATAAAAGAGAGAGTACAAGAGAATATAAACTAGGAAATTAGGATAGATTCCACTAGATAACTAATTATTAGAGCTAAACTTGCTCTCTTTTTTATTCATTTTTAGAGTTAACAAGCATAATCTATCATTGTAATTAATGAAAGCATAGATTATCTAGATAAATTGTATAAAAAAAATTAAAATTTATGCATAGACAATCAATTAAAAATAATAATCCTAAAATACTAATAAGAATAGATTATTAAACCAATTAAGAAATGTATAACCTATCAAATTAAAATATTCTATCAACTATTATTTTGATTGATCTCTCTCTATATAAATAATTAAGGCAAAAAGAGAGTAAATTTAATTCCAATAAAGAAATTATACTAGTTTCCTCTTATCCTATTATCCTAAGAATTTTAGCTACACATTTTATTAAATCCTAAATTATGAGCAAATAATGAAAGCATGAGTAAAAGGCAAGAAAAGAAACTAAGTATAAAATGCAAATAACAATAAGAAAACAAACTAACTAGTCAAGAATAAAATTAAATATACTCCTAAATTAAGCAAGAAAACTAAATAGGGAAAATTGCATCAAGGCCCCAAAAATGAAAACATCATGTGTCCTAGCCCCCTAAACTTTTTCCAATATGTTTTAGCCCCAAAAATAAAAAAATCCATGTGAATCAGCCCTATTTATAATTTCCAAGACAAAAAAATCCCCAAAACCCCAAACTACCCCTCTTCTTCTCCCCTCCTCCAGACCTTCTCCTTCTTCCTCCTCTTGCTCCGCTCTTCTTCGCCTCGTCCCGACCACCTCCCGCCATCTCCTCCA